TAACACACCATCTATTACCTTTTGGAGAGTGGTGTCTCCTAGATTGGTTAGGTGTCACTTGGGAGTTTCCGTCCAGATTGTGGAGTTGAACCAAGGAGTTTGTAAGGGCAAGAAGATCGCCTACTTCGTGAAGATCTACCCAAGTGAGGCAAGTCCTTCGTGGGCGATGGCCATGGTGGGATAGACAAGGTTGCTTCTTCGTGGACCCTTCGTGGGTGGAGCCCTTCATGGACTCGCGCAACTGTTACCCTTCGTGGGTTGAAGTCTGATGTACGATAGCACCACCTATCGGAACCACGCCAAAAAACTCCGTGTCTCCAATTGCGTTTGCACACTCCAATCCCATCCCTTTACTTTCTTACAAGTTGCATGCTTTACTTTCCGCTGCTCATATACTCTTTGCATGCTTGCTTGACTTGTATTGTGAATGTTTAAAATTGTGCTAATTTCCAACCTCAACTTAAAAAACTTAAAAACTGCCAAGTTTACTGGTTGAGAGTCTAATCACCCCCCCCCCTCTAGACACCTCTTCTCGATCCTTTCACCCCTCTTCTTATTTTTACTCTTGGAAGGCCAACTCTCATGATAAACTAGATGGTGCTCCACGCATTGCCACGAGAACCGTGTTAAAAATTATGCATCATTGAGTGCTTAATAACAATTAAAACTAATGAAAATACAAATGTAAGAGTGTTCATACAATGTATATGAAAAAATAATGTATACAAAGAGAATTTTTTGGATTCAACATAATCTGACACCATCTTTTAACAAGAATGAGAAGCGCAAAACTAGATATATTTTTCTCCAAGGGTCCAACACATATACCTCTCATGGCCACAAAAAATGGAAGAAAAATAATAAATTGTAACTAACATGAATGACTTGATTCAACCCCCCCTCCCCCCCCCCTCCAAAAAAGACATCCTTGACTAAATGAAGTGACATGGTCTGGATGGATATATTAATGCAAGAAGTGTAACTTGTGAGTACATGCATGACTTCTAATGTCACACAATTTTGATCGGATGGCTACAAATAATTAAGGTGATGTGGAACCACACATGTTGAGAGAAATGCCGTAGTGGGAGCTATTTACATATAGTAGTGGGGACCTACTTGCCTCCAGCAATAATGGCCGAGTGTCGGCATGCTACCCGATTCGACCACGATCGTCTATCAATCCCGGCGCCATCCCCCAAACCCATCCCGGCCCCAACCCATTTTCGGTGCCACCTCCGGCGATTAGGGCCCTCACCGACCCCGAATCGGACCACCGCCAGCGCCTTCCTCGAGCCCAACCTTGCCACCGCCATTGAGCACTGCCGCCTCCTGTTGTCATCGGCTCCGTTTTCCCCAAGCTTTGCCACCATGGCTCGCAATCTCCCCAGACCCAAGCTCGAATGAGGGGATGGTGGTAGACCCGGCCGCCGGGTTCGAGGTGATTGACATGGTGGCCGGGGCAACGGCATCTGCCTCCTCTAGATGACCAAGGTGGTGGAGATGAACCGTCGTGCGCAAGCTAAGGAGGTGGACGAGCAGTGCCACTACGCATTCGAGGTGGAGGACATCGGTTGGCTGAGCACGCAATGCCGACATCGTGGTTGCGCTCATGGAGAACCCGGACACCTCGAGAACCACACGATCTTCGCGTCGTTTGAAAGCACGTGAAGGATCTAGCATGAGAGTCATGAGTGCATTCGCCGCGATGTCGCATTTGTGGAGTTGTGTGAGGACATCGAAGGCAAAATTGCCGACGAGGAGGAGGAATAGTTTGACGGGTTCGCCCCGGTGCCGTGGATTTGGCCTACTATCAACGGCGGTGAGGTTGATCCCTCCGGCACGGGGTGATCAACATCTCCTTCGACGAGGAGTAGAGTTTATTACCTATCTAGTACGTACTGATGTTTTAACTAGTTCAATGTCAATGTAGTGGTAGTGTGCTAGGCAAGGTTTTGATTTTCGGTTTGTGAAATTTTCCGCCCTAGGCTGAGATGGCCGAATTTCGGCCATTTTCAAAAATTTCGTTCGAAATTTGACCAAATATTGGCTGAAATTTGACCAAAATTTGACCCATAATCTACTCCCTCTGTCCCATAATGTAAGACGTTTTTTGACACTATATTATGGGACGGAGGGAGTATTTTTTGCCCGAAAGTAAATTTCGCCCCAGGCCGAGATGGCCAAAATTCCTTTTTTCTTCGGCCGAAATTCAAAACACAGGTGCTAGGTAATGAAATGTTCTAGTATGGTAGATTTCATGTTAATGTAGTACTTTGTTTAATTATGAAATGAACTAGTTTAATTGTGTGTTTCAAATGATTTTGTGTGCAAAAATATGTGTTCGAATTTTTTTGGGGATGAAATTTCAGGAGATCTACTAGATGAAGAAAACTTTAATCACCTAATATATTTCACTTTTTGAAATAAAAGATTCGTTTTGGACTTTTTAGGATAGGGGGTCTGCTAGAGTTTGTTCCTACATTTTTCTTGGATGACAGTTTATAACAATAGAAATGAACGCGACCGTTGCAAATGTTTTGCCATTTCTCTCCAGTATGTAGCGCGTATTTACCTCCAAAGGAGGGCAAACTACAATCTACTCCCTTTGTTCCAAAATATAGGACATTCTATTTTGAATTTCGATCGTCAATCTCTTGTAGGAGTACAATATTTCTTTCCACCTACCCAGTCACAATCACAAGAAAGAGCTTCTGAATACAAAATGTCTATTATTTTATTTTGAGCGAACAATGTGTCTATTGTTGAATTAACTATTGATCAAATAAGAATTCGGACATTGACAGACGACATTTTGCAGACAGTGGGTAACTGAGTACGCATAGACAGTGTGACCAAAGTTGGAAAAGTGGTGCCCTGTTGTGTGATCCCTTCTTGGATAAGAAACGCTAGAACGCTAGATTTCTATGTTTTTGCAAGTGCGCCCATAGAGAAAGGCCAGACTTTGTCTTTGTCAGAGAAAAGATATCGGGCGTATCAGCATTCAGCAGAAACAAAGCAGCGCTTCAGAGAAATGGAGTCCCGGAAACGAAGAGGACAGGAGACTACAAAACACTTTCTGAAAGGTTGGGGAATGAGGACAGTCTCGTGTGAATTTTTTTTTCTTCCAAATTTCTCTACTTTTCTTTTCATAGTACAACAAACTGGTCACTTTCCAACTTCCTTTTTTCTTAAACAAGGCAAATGCTTTGCCCGTTTCATTAATAAAAAGAAGATTTGTCGCCCGGTTAATTAGGGAAAACTGGGCAAAACCCAATACACCCTCGGGGCCAAGCCCACTCGACACCTCCATCCAACAAGGGAGAAGCCCAAACTCGGCGACAACACAACAAGAAACGCCAACCGCACCAACATAAACCAATGGGGGACGGGGCTGGGGGGGGCTCCACCATACTGGTTGGCCTCCCATCACTGACGGGGAGAAGGAGTCATATCTACTATGGGAGGAGCAAATCCAGAACTGGCAGCAAAGATCAAGAAGCAGGCACTCCATATAGCCTACGCCAATTGTGACGTCGAGAACCAACACCGAAAAGCAACCTCACTGCCCACACGATACGAGATCAATGCTCTCAATGTTGCCGAAACCCTCGGCGCCGCCGCCCCGACACGGTCCACTGACACAACCTTCCGGGGCAGCGGCCCCGACATGTCATCACTTGCCCTCGAGTTGTGACGCCACATGACCTAGCCAACCGCAACCCAAGCAGCAAAAGGCAACCACCCGTAGACCACGACTGTCGTCACACCAACATGTTCGAGCCCCTGCCTCGACATAAACCAAGCCAACACCCTCACCGCCCAAGCAGAACAAGGATGTCACCCAAGCAACATTTCCCTACTGCTAATAAAGAAATCAGACGCTTCAAGTTCGGCCGTATGTTAAAAAGGTTGCATAATGAGAAATATGGACGTGCCGTTTTGGCTCTCAGGTGCAGATGCTCCCAGTAAAATCGTTTAAAATAGCACAAATAACAAAAAAAATCTAGAAAATGCAAGATGCTCATGTGTGTGATGCCCGTGCCAAATTTCGTGGAGTTTGGATATTTTAGTAGCTCTCAGCAAAAAAAAGACAAATTTTGGGCATGTGAGAAAATTTTGAAAACAACACTGTTCAGAGCTCATTTTGTCTTTTTTGCCACGAGCTCCTCGTATGTCATTTACGCACGAAATTTGCACACACCTGGCACACTCAAGCATCTTGCATTAAAAAAATCAGTTTTTATTTATTTTCGGCAATTCTTGTAAGTTTATCAAGTGCAGATGAGCCCGGGCTCATAATTGAATCCGCAAATGAGTAAGCATCTGGCTTTTTGGGCATGCAAATTTCTATCATATCTGTCTCCAGTACAGCATAGGCCAACTAACTGTATATGGCATAGCACTACTTCAAAATTTTCTGTATTATATTGTTGCCTTTATTGATCACCAAACACCTTCTGCTGCCAATATTATAGGGAGGGCACAATTTCTGCCGACTTCATCATGATATAAACTAAATAAATGGAGAACGCAGACTTAGGGATAGACTAATCATGGCATACTATTTTGATCACACCGTGCAACTACCTTCAGACAAAGTTTCAGATTATTCTTACCAGTGCAGTACTAGTAATGCCTACAAATCACAACTGCAGATGAGTTGATGACTAGTTTTCAGCTTGCTTGCCTAATACTCCCTCCGTAAAGATAAGAGCGTTTAGACCACTACTTTAGTGATCTAAACGCTCTTATATTTCTTTATAGAGGGAGTACTGTATAAAGTTTGAAGCATCACACAGCTTGTACAACCAAGTCGGAAACACAGGGACAAGGTTGTGACAATTACACAGGAAAACATTGTTTGCTTTTGTCACAATCTCAACAGATAGTCTGAAACAACAAATCTACGCTTATTTCTGCAGTATAGCTTAAGCAGCATAAATGAAGCCGAGTGGGTATCCCAAAACAGATTGTTACCAACTCAAGGTGCATGAGCATCATTTGCCCATCTCCCAGACAACGCCGCCATCCTCTGCATGCAGCAATCAACAAAAAGTAAGAGGATGATGTGGTAAAACAGAATCAATGAAGCAAATAGATATGCATGATTTCCATGGCACAGTCATCTCAAATTTCCAGATCGAGTAGTTTTCTTATGCTAAGTGACTACTCCAAGGTTCGGCCATGAAATGCAGGATTATACCTTTGATCTTTTTGTTTATCCAAATCTCAAGCAACATTCCTGCACCAACTCCAGCGGCACAAACAGCACCATAGATTGCCAATGCAGAAGGTAGAGATCGCCGGGGCAGAAAGTAACACTCGGGGACTTGTCTGATTTTCTTTGGAAGACGCTTCTTAACAATTGGCTGGCTTGACTCAGTAATCACTGGACCACTCACTGTTTTCCAGTCCGCATTCTTCAGCATATCTTTAGAGTCCTCAGTACCCATCCTGAAACTGCCTATATGTAAATACTAATCAGAATCGATATCCATATAGCATATCGAAGACACTCAAATCATAGCCATTAATACCATGCTGCTCCATTTAGATTCATGAAGAAGAGGGGTATTTTCATCATTCCGTTTATTTAACCCTAGGATAGGATAATCGTTGGATGTCCTAAAGATCTAAAGGATGTGTCTTACTATCTTGTAATTCTTGTCACCTGCGTTTTTTTTTTGGCTTCAGCAGATCATAAGAAATCATAATTTTCAACTATCTAAAAGCATGTTAATTTATTTTTGAGTACTTGTGATAATTTGGTTGTATCGGTATGTCTAGTGCAACTGGCAAAGGCTAACCTAACTCTAATCTACCAGACTACCACTGTACTTGTGTGAGCTAAAAGAGCTTTTGCTCCGTTGTTTATCTCCTGTGCGCAGCTGTCCTATCCAGGAACAGAGCAAAACACTACCAAGGATTAATGAAACATTCTGCCACTCAGATGCCTTCTGTTTTCCTGAATATATGCTATAAAGATGCAGAGCTGCATTCCAATCAAATTCTTTGCACAAGGGGGAAAATGTGAGCAAGTTCTCGTCCTTTCCAAATCCTATGCACCTTACAAAAACATATTGCTAACCTTAAGAAGATAAAATATAGGGCAAGTATCAAGAGTCATGATGCTTGACGCTTGCATGTTTAGAGTCCTTACCAACAACAAGAATTCCATGCTCCATTATTTTAAGCCTGTGGTCACATGGTAACAGAATGGAGACAAACAAAAAGAAAAGAATTTACTCTCTAAACTCTACAAGCAAGATTTCATCAACTAGTCCTAGTGATGGATGCCGTCCAACATATAGATATATAACAGACATAGTTTAGTAAATTAATCTTGGCAGTTTTATCAAGTAATCATCATCACAAAGAGTAACTGTCAACTACTTAACTTTAGTCTTTGCATAGGTGAAAATGGAAAAACAAGAGCACCACTACATGACTGCCATTCTAGCAGCTACAAGCTACCAATTCAGAGTTTTAGAAAAAAACTGAAGATAATCCCTTCTTCCTAAACGCATGAGCATAACGACTGCTATTTTTTCTCAAAAAAGGACCACCAGCAGCAGGCAGCTAGTGGTCTCATCAAACTCAATCTGAAGGTGGTGATGTAGCTGATGATATGCTTGATCCAGAAAACAATGATGGGTATGCCTGATAATTTCCCTGTAATGTTAGTGACTACATAGCATAGGACTTCTAAAGACTAAAACTAAAACAAACCGGAGCAGAAGCACAAAATGAATAACTAAAAAAAGTAAGGATGGCTTTCCATCAAAATGCCGCAGCAAACAAGTTCAGACTAGCTCTTCTAATTTAACGATTACAAAGCTCCCCTGCTAAGTCATTTAGCAGAATCGGTAAGGAACCAGGAAGATACAAAGTGCAGCAGTCTCCAGGACAAGTAATTAATCAACAATCCAAGATGCACAGTCTGAGGATACTACCACATCGACTTTAAGATCAACTTAATTATTTTCATTTCTCCTTGAGGTTCCCAAACAAAAGTTATCTCTCTTCCATGATATGTTTCTCTTTGATTTGCCAGCAGCAGTCGAATGGAACACGGGGCCATATACAACATACACTATACACGCACTGATCTCCAACTAACAAACATTTTCTCAGATAATCTTCAGAAAAGAACACTCCATCAGACTCACATCGCGAGATGTATTATAAGATTCAGGTAGAAAGACAAATTAAGAAAACAAAGCACGAGGAACAAATTGATCGACCTTCTTCTCTGCTAAATCGACTCTGGATGAGGCGGAGGCCTGCGCCCTGCACGGGAAGCACGCCATGGGCGAAATCCCCTAAACCTAAAAAATCATGCCGTCGTGGCCTCGCGGGAGAAGGAAGAGGAATATCGGATGCTGCCACAGGAGGAGGCATCGCCGGGTACGACGACACACACAGGAGGAGGAGAACGAGACGGACGAGTCGCCGGAGACTAACGGACGGGTCATCTAACTGTCTAAGACAGCGCTCCGCTCGGCTTCACAGCGGGGGACGAGATGTTTCAATTTTTTTTTCGAGCGGGCGAATGGATTCAGCGGATTGGGGACTGGAACAGAGGGGAAGGAGCTTACCTACGTTCACCGCTTGCCGTTAGCCGCCGCCTGGATGCTGGTGGTGCTCGCCGGCCGGCGTGCTTCCGTGGTGCGGCGCTGCGAAGTGCGAATGGATCTGTTTGAGGGAGAACGAAGTGACGGGTTAATTACTGGGCTTGAGGGAGAATTGGAGAGGTATTGAATGGGCCGAAGGAAATTATGAGAAGAACTGAAAATATCTGGCCCAGTATCAAGGTTCCTCTAAACAAAGTGTTTTTTTCTTTCAGTGAAAGCTATTATGGCACATTTTATTGAGTTGTTTCTCTAAACAAAGTTAAAATAGTTACAGCAGTTCCCAAAAACGACGTTCTTTTAGGTAAGTTAGTTAAGGACAGAACATTGTAATTCACCCTGGGCATTCGGGTATTTTTGTTATTTCGGTCCGGGTAGTTCTGTTTATGGGTAATTCTGGTACTCAAAAACAGAAAACGAATTTTTTTCTGCCAAAAAATATCTAAACCCAAATTACCTGAAATTTTGGTTCGGGTAATTCGGGTACCCGAAATATTCGGAGCACACATCAACTTTTAGTATGCATAATTTGGGTAGTATGGGTATTTTAGTTAGTTTGGGTAACATGAATAATTTGGTTAGTATGGATAATTCGGGCAGTATGGATATTTCGGGTTTCCCCGACTAAAACCCAGACCCTAACCCGGAAACTGAATAGCCAGGAAATGAGAACCGAACTTGGTTCGGGTTCAGGTAACGGGTTAGGGTACCCAAATACCCAGGTTGAATTTTAGTAGGGAGTTGAACATGGTTGCTCATGAGCTAGCTAGGTTTGGGAGGAGTAATCTACCGACTTTGTGGTCGGATACACCTCTTAGCTTTATTAGTCCTTTGTTAGCAAACAATGTAAGTTCGATTTGAGTTAATAAAGGTAGCCATGAAGGCCTTCCTGTCAAAAAAGTTAGTTAAGGATAGAGTGAATTGCTCTCTACTTCATACCATCATGATCATTCAAGTTGGAAAATGTGGTCCTCATTTCACATAAATGCGGTCATACGGTCTTTTCAGAAACATCTGAGTGAGTTGAAACGACACCAATAGGATCAACATTGCCGGTGGAAAGCTAGTAGATCAGGGAGAACCGGCGGCCGCCGGTAGTGCGTGGGGTGGTGGCGGGGTCCGGGAGGTCTGGGTTGCCGGCATCGGAGGGGCGGCAATGCCAGCGATGATGGCGAAGATTGCTTCTAGCCACGGGCGGGAAGGTTCAGGTCGGCGGTTGCATGCGCACTTGGGGGCGTTTGGCTTTTACATCACCATCCCACGTGATGTATATTTGCATCACCGAAGGCAAATTTTACATCATGCCCTAAAATTTTTTTTGGCCAAATTTACATCACGGGCAGCTATTGGAGAGCCTTTTTTGGCCTCAAGTCATGTAAAAGTTAGGTAATCATTATTTTGCATCACCTATTGAAGATGATCCAACAGAAGTTACTGGGGTTT